GAGATCATGGGGTTTGGGTGGCTGTGGCTTTAGCTGAAAGCACACTTTGACTTGGATACATTTCTTACATTCCTGCAGAGGGGCTCAGAGAGGAGAGGGAGAGTTTTCTCTCTCTTTTTTTTTTTAACGGAGCACATTAAAAAGGTGTTGGAGCTCCTAATGGTTCTCGGTGTTAAGTGGGTCCTTTCAGAGGTCCAGACTACAGGAGCCCTGAGCTGGAACCGGCTCAATGCAGCAGAGCCCAAGGAGAAGAAACGTGACAGCAGAGGGAGGGAGAGAGGGCATGCAGTCAATCAGGCAGGAACACACACTACACAGGAAAGTCATGCGTACAAATTCTTTTCATTATTGTAAAGGCATGTTTTTATTTATATAATTCAGGTAGATTAAAATGGGGTTGTTTGATTTGGTTGTATCAGGAGGAATCCGAGTGGCTGAAGGACAGTGGTTTTTATTTGGCGGTGCACTGATAGGCACTATAGACACTGATGGGAAGGTAAAGAGGGCCATCTAGTGGTAACAAAGAGATCCTGCACAGGCATACAAGATCACATGATCCAGCAAAGGGAAAAGCTTTGTTTCTATTCTTGGAATGGCATCAAAGAAAGGAAAAAAAGAGACTTATTAAGATGAACAGTAATTACTCAAATTAAGCACCCTCAAATTGCTCTAAAGAAGTATTATTTGAAAATGAGCCACACTACCAGGACTGAATGTAGTATTTTAACTGTGTAAGTATATTCCAGTAACATTGTGCATGACCTACCCGTGGTATTGATCATGCTTTTGGGGGTCGCAGAGGCAGCAGCAAAGATGTTGGGGGTGCTGCCAGCTGTCAGCCCAGAAGAGGTGGTGGTGGTACTGCTTCCCACTGTGTTCACTGCCAGGCTGCCAGGGGAGGTTTTCTTCACAGGCACCACCACACTCCTACAGGAAACACACACAATATGCTTCATCTGCACGGAAAAACTATAAACAGTTAAAATATGAAATAATAGAAATTCAGTGGAGTTTACATTGTAAGACTGTACTGTGGCAAAGAACATAACAAATATATGCAAAGGGAAGCAGAGTGGCACAGTGAAGAGGTGGATTGTATTCATGCCCCCTGTTTAGCAAGTATCTTCCCTGCCAAAGTGCCCTTAAGAAAGACAGTAAAATCCTCCAGGGTGTTGTGGTAGCTGGGACTCAAAATTGTGATAACTTCATTAAATTAGTCATATACTCTGACTTATGGCCTTGCAATCATATTAAAAGACCACTAGGCTAGAACTGTGGGTGAAAAACATTTTTATTAGTTTGTTGGAAGGTTATAGTTGCACCAAATAATTGTCAGTTGGAGTTTGCGAACTAGACTGGGACCAGGGGTTAATATCAAATTAGCCAGCAATATACAGTCGCAGGGTTAGCTTTAGGACAAAAGTTGTCATTATAAAACTGACTGAGTAAAGCAGCATCTTGAGGCTTCTCAGTCCTGTTCTTGCAACAGAAAAACAGGAATAACTTGACTTTCAATTCAACTTTCTAATAAATCATTTTTGAAATCCCCCCAGACTATCGTGCATAAAATAAAATAAATTCATATATTACAAGAAAAAAGGAGAATAGTAATTATCTTTATTGTCTCTTACAGCTCTCAGGCACAACCAGCATGAGCATGCCCAGACGTTAATCAGAGTATCCGGAAAGGTAAACATCCTGATCCATAACTCCATCTTTCAGCGTAACACATGCAATGCAAACACACACACAGATGCACACAAGATGCTAAAGTAAATACACCTGGGGGCAAGAGGCCAGTCAGCCAGCTACTACACTTTTCATTACATCTGCTCTTGCCACTGTTGGCCCTCTGCTGCCCTCTGCTCTGTTTTGCTCAGAAAAGCTGAAAACATCCCAGAACCTAATGAGAGGCTCACCAGGAGCAACTTGGCAGTTGTTACTGACATGCATTGGCATAGCTACCGTCTGTGTTTGAACTGATAGAACTACGGTTCATTGAGCATTAAAAAACCTATTCTATTCAGCATTTGCCCTATAAAAACATACAGAGCAGAATCTGAATTTGACAGAAAATACATGTAGAGTAGACATATTTGCATACTATTGCTGATACACTGCAGGTTTTTATATTGTGTTCTTAAATGGATCACTTATCTATTTATTTTTCAAGAAACACAAACTTAAAGAAGCAAAAGATGGCACCAAATAATTCAAAACTCACAGTAAACTATAAAAAGTGTACACATTAAAGTAGGTGCCTAAAATGTTTATTTCCCTTTCATATTCTTCATAAGAAAAAAAATTACATACATAATTATACATGTGAAGATATGTACAGTCCAAAATATATATAAACTCATGGTCATATATATTTACATATATAGAAACAAAACAAATTGCTCATGTGCAACTGGATGTGAACACTGTGATTCATAATTTACTATGGGCATTGCTAGACACAAACATACTCAAGTATGCAGTACAAGACAACTCCCCACCCTCTTATATATTGGATATATTAATAATATTCATATTAATGCATAACCACATTTAACAAAAAACAAAATCTAAAAAATACAGTCTTGCATCATCACCTCAATGGTCTGTACTAGACCCATTTCATTTTTCTAATAAATAGTCCATCCATCCATTTTCTTCCACTTATCTGTGGGCCGGTCACAATAGCAGCAGGCTAAGCAAGGTTGTTCAGACGTCCCTCTCCCCAGTTCTTTCCAGCAACCCGAGATGTTTTCAAGCCAGATGTGATCTATAATGTCTACAGTGTGTTCTTGGTCGACCCCAGGGTCTTCTACCAGTTGGACAAGCTTGGAAAACTTCTAAAAGAAGGGAGCACCAAGCTCGCTCCGGATGTCTGAGCTCCTTACCCTATCATTAAGCGAAAAACCCAGCCATCCTATGGAGGAAATGTTTGTATCCACTATCTCATTCTCTAACCCTTCACACCGCACCAGTTCACCTGTCAACCTCTAGCTCCATTTTACCCTCAGTCTTGAACAAAACCTTGAGATACATCAGCTCCTTCACTTGGGGCAGCAACTCACTGCCCAGAGGGAGCAATCTTCTATTTTCTGACAGAGAACCATGGCCTCAGACTTGGAGGTGACTCTCAACCCAACCACCTCACAGTCCACTGCAAACAGCTCCAGTGCGTGTTCAAGGTTGCGGTCAGATAAAGCCAACAGAACCACATCTGCAAAAAGCAGAGAAGCAATAATGAGGTCCCTAAACTCTCCTTCCCAACTGTCCCTCGAGATCGTATCCATGTAGATCACAAACAGATTTGGTGACAAGGTTGCCAGTGCTCCTCCTGGATCTGAGGATCAACAATCAGCCAGAGCCTTCTTTCCAGGCATAAGCTTCCCCAGGGAGGGGAACATGTAACATTGAATAGATGTGTCAGTCAAGACAATCCAACAATTTGAAGTGCCTTTAGCATCTCGGCGGATTTCAGGAGCCTCTTAACTACCTCAGAGACCTCTGCCATGGATATGGGTACATTTCCCCAAGACTTCAACGCACTCCACAGAGGACTTGTTGGTCAGGCTTAGGAATTCCTCCACGTGGTTTTTTCTCAACAATATTTCCAGTCAGGGGCAGCAGATCTTCTCCCCTCTTGAACACAGCCAAGTTCTGAAAGTTGCTCTCCTTAGCCTCCCTGAACTCCTCCCAAACCCAGGTTGCTTCAGTGACCACCATAGCTCCAGCAATTCTGGCCTGTCTGTACCTGTCTGCTGATTCAGACCACAACTCTTAGTTACTCTGCCTTTACAATAGAGGTTCTGAACATGGCTGACCCAGATTCCATGTCCTTTACCTCCCCCAGGATGGATGAGAATTCAGCTCAGTCCAATTCACCCTCACCTATGCATTTTGGTCACTTTCCAGCAGCCTTCCCTGCCATCTGATCCAACTCCACCAGGTGGGGATCAGTTAAGAACTTTTTTATTCTCTTTACCCAACAACAACAACAAAATCTTTGGCCTAAGTTGTTTAATTACCCAGTACTAATTTGCAAGGGAGACCTTACCAGGACCCTAATGTCCCAACAACACAGCTACAACCCCTACACCATGATAAGGTGGCGATTCTTGGAGGAGGCTGTTGAATGTGTTTTGTTTTTGTTTCTTGGTTACTTCTCACACTAGACTGAATGGTAGTTACTGGATGAAAATTCCCACATCACATGAAAATGCACATAAAGTATAGTTTGGTTTGGTTACTTTTTCATATGGTGTGCTCTCACCATTGTCAAATGAAACCTATGGAGAAACTTAAAATGAATTAGTTGATGATTGTTATCGATGAAAAAAGAATCATCTTCACAGAACTGATGGATTTTAAAATAATATCATTAATTCCTAAAGACAATCTTTTCTAGACTGAATTCCTAAATATTTTAGAATGGAAAACACATTCATTCACATTTAGCTGCTCGTCTTTTGCAACAGTGTTTTAATCATGTTCATAAAAGCATCAGCTACCCATATAGCTAAGAACTTTCCAGAAGCAGGACCACTCCAAGGGGTTGAATTCTTTTTCAGCATCAACTGATAACATAGCTCTTGATTTAGTCCCTGGCAGTATGCACAAAATATGGAACATATGGCATATGTTACCGACCAAATCCTTAACAAAGCCAGCCATATCAGTTTGAACTAGTAGAGGAAGATATTTCTCCAATCATGATGCTAACTTAATATTGAAATGTATTAATTATAATACACGATAACTTGAGTAGACATGAAACATGTAAAGAAAAGCTAGTGGAAGCTTGAGATTAATGATACACTTGTGATCTCCTAACAGCAAATAAAAACACAGACACACCACTAACCCACCAGAACTCTGTTCACATGCAATCTGATTGGCCAAGGATTAAAGATGATGCAGTGAACTTGGCCCTGCAAGAGCTCCCTGTCAGGAAAGAGAAGGAAAGCTTGTCCTTATCAGGTCTGCAGTTGGCCTTTGGGTTTGTGAGGGTGCCAGATAATGTCTTGTCCAATCTCCGGCAGTTACTCTGGGTGACACAGGCCAGGCCTCTGCTCTGTCACGCGCTAAGCCTGCTGTCATCTGAAGCAAATCCCCAGAAAACCTCCCTCAACAAAACAACACAGACTTTTACTGTTTTATGTTGTTACTGTATACATCCACAGCCCATCTCATATATGAAGTTACTGTACAACTGATTCCTCAAAATTATCAAAGCAATTATATTTTATGTAAAATATGAAATAGCTCGGTAGTTTCTCTATATAGATCATATTTACAAAAAGTAGATTATATTACACATTAAGTGACACATTAACATTAACCACTGTTGCTTTGTTGACAACAACCAAACAGGCATACGATACCAAAAATAAGTCGGAGCAAAGCATGAAAGCTTACTGAAATATCTCCAGAGATACAGCTGTGAAGAAAACTAATGACAAGTATCATTTATTTAGTAGATCTCTGTACTGCTCTCCTCTGTGGAATCTCATTGACAGATATCAGAACATCACAAGCATGTTTTGATTGTTGGAACTGGGCATGAATTGAATTTTGCTGTCTAAATGTATCCCTTGCTCGGATCTTCCAGCAGAAGCCTGCCTGTCCTTGCACAGCTGGCATAGCTGGGACGTTATATTAGATCTACCATTAGATCTATAGGATGTTGATAAAACATGAACCTCTTTTAATGAATAATTAATTAGCTGAGAGCTCATGAATCATGTATAGATTATCTAGCACATATCTTATTAATAGGATTGTCTTAATTGAGTTGCAGAGAATAAAGAAAGGATTAATCTTGGAATTAATATTAATGAGGTCTGCGGCTGTGAGGGATGACTGCGGTGTGAAGTATAACCACAAAAATGTTTCCTTTATAAATGCAACATGGAATCTCATGCAATAGTGCTTCTTTCAGGAATACAAGGATAGACACAGAGGAAATGTGCTTATATTCCACTCGCAAAATTCAATTAAAACCAATTATCATTGCTCTACATCATTGGAAAAATCAAATATGTAAGGACAATATCTCATAGACCTAATTTGAAGACTTTTTGGGAAGGAGAGGGGGAAAGAGAGGAAGCTAAGGATTAAGGATAAGGTACTGTATTTCCATCTGGTCTAACAGAAATCTGGATGTTGAGCAATTTAAACCCCTCCTCTATGAAAGTCTCTTGTGGGGCCTCTGCGGCGACTGCCCCTGTGCATTCCACTTTAAGCCATTTTTTTCTCTCCTTTTTTGATGTTGTCACTCCCAATCTATCGCTGCCCTGACAGACAAATGAAAAGCCTGTCCATGTCTGGCAGCTCATTTCGCTGGCAGGTGGCAAACAATTAGACACAGCAAATGGAGGCTGGAGGGGGAGTGACATGAAAAGCATGAGACAAAGTTGTATATGTGGTCAGGAGGGTTTGTGTGAAAGCATTTCAAAAATAATACACTTTACTCTGGCGACTCATTTCAGGCTGCCAGTTCCCATTATGGGTGTGAGTGGTGAGGGCGACAGGGCTGGCTGTGGTGTGGCGTGAGGCCGCTTCTGTTTAATCTGTCATCAACGCCCTGGAGACCCCCACTCTCTCAGCTGTCCTTTCTCCACATACTCCTCCATCTTCTCCCCTATTCATCAGGCTCACCTCAGCCCAGCACAGCAGCAGCAGTATGCATTAAAAACAAGGGAGGCCCCATTGTTCCTCCTGACTCAGTGTATCCTCTGCTGTCTCTCTGGGGCCTGGCAGTGATTACACAGACACACACAAAAACTGTGTGTCCAGGGTACAGGAGGGGGTTTTGTTTGTGCTAAACCAACTCAAATTACTTTCAGAAAAATTATGATTTTCAAAACTTTACCAACAATAGGGGACAGGGATCAGGGGGGAGCTGAAGCTTGAAATCCCTGCAGGAGCAGGTTTGTAAACTCCCAAATCCAGATAGATTACTGTGTGGTTTTATCTAATCCAGGAATGTAAATAAACTGCAGCAGTGCCACAGTGCTTCAGAGACCTTTTCAAACACAGGAATTCTTTGCTGTGGGGGATGAGTAGAATACAAGTGGCCGGAAATTAATAATGGGTCTTATGCTGTTCAGAAACTATTAGTGGTATACTGGATAAGTAAGATAAAGCCAGAGGATTAACATCAGTATTTTACGGCCATATGATTGATACACACACATCTTTCATGGCTATGAAATGTTTGCTAGCTATCCTCAGACAAATGTAAACCTCCAAGAATGATACAGTGAAACATATGATAATATATAATATTTATATAGTTTATTGTTAGCTTATTTTATATCATCACAGATTGTTTTTGGCTTTAACAAAGTTTGCTTTACCTATTAAGAACTATATAAAACTGGAGTCAAGTTGAAGGACCTGACTGTTTCAAAATTTTGAGGTATATTTCTACCATTTCAGGATGGTTTCCATTAATTTCTGTAAGGTATGAAAATCTATTAGCACAATCCTGGGCAGTGTAATCCACACTGACAAAACATTATTTTTTTGTCCAAGTTACATTATAATTGTGTTTTTAATGCCATGCTTTACCCAGAAAAGATAATGTGACTTTGATAAAGGTTGCAAAATGGTTAACTGTAATGTAAAGTGTACATGATTTGTAGTAAATGGGCTAAAATATTCAAAACCTCTGGTACAGTTCATAACAAAAAAAACTGACAGTGATTTTTTGAAAAACAGATTATCTACAAACGGTGCTTTCTCACCTGTCAAAGGAGTGAAACTGCATGGGTAGCATGGCCTGGGCTTGGGCCTTGGTAGGGTCCGGGTAGGACACAGGCTCCAGCCCAGCCTCCATGCCCTCCACTGGAGCTGCCACCAGGCTCTTCAGAATCTCCTTGACATTGATGCCCCTTTTGGGCTGGCTAATGCTAATGATAGAGGAGGAGGATTTCAGCACTTCCATGCTGGGGGATTCGGACAGACTTTCCTGGGACTTCTTCACCTCTGAGGACAGAGTAGATATGAGCTCACTCATGGCATCTGGCCCTCCTGCGCCGTGGTCCAGGTCAGACCCATTAAGGATGCTGGCTACCTGGTCCTCTCCGATACCAGAGTCTGTGTGGGGAAGGGAGCTTTCCATGTGGAGGTCTTCTGATTGTGTAAGATGGTCCTTACTGTTGTCAAATACTAGCGGTGTTTCTGTAGCATACACACACACACACAAATGACTGCAGTTAGCCACATAAAAATATATGTACAATTATGCTTTATATGATAAAATAATCACTGTGTGTAAAAAAAGTACAAAAAACAAAAAACAAATACAAAATACAACAATCTCCAAAGTAGAGTCCAAAGTAATGTCTTCAAATTTTTATTCCATCATGATGATTAAATCCTCACATTTAATGAGTTATAACCACCTAATGTTTGCTACTTTTGCTGGATAAATTAGTTTAGTGATTTAAATAGTAACTACTTATCGTAATAATTTCAATCCCTGCACTATATTTATTAACATAATACACATTTATAATAATTACGGTCTCTACATGTCTACTTAATTATCATAATTATATTTGTCAGAAATATAGATTTAAAATTAAATAATTTGATACCTATACCAATGAATAAAACTGAATTACAGAACTGGCTTTACATTCAAAGAGTTAATTTAGCATGTGGAGAAAGAGCCATGTGGTAACGCAGCTTCTTAGATCTCTCTCCAGAAGCTCTGATCCTCTGGTGAGATTATCTCTCTGTTATTCTCCATCTATGCTAATAAAACATGAATCCTTTTTTCAGCTTCCTCGTGCCTAAAGCCCTCGGAGGCATATCTATTTAACTGATTTTGAAACTGTGACAGAGCAGTCAGATAGCTGCTCTTTTATTCTGGTCCATAATATACTGTATACTTTACCTTTCTATATACATGAGTTAATGAGTTAGAACCAAGAATCTTTTCGTAAAGAATCATTCTCTCTCCATACATTGAACATGCATTGTCTATACAGTGATCAACTTGACCCAATAAATTCTGATTATCCCCGAGACGGCCAGAGTTGGCTTTCTAGTCTGATTTTGGTTCATCCTGACCCAGTGGTTACCTAGATGCAAGCCCGGCTATTAATATTCATCACATGCCCCCTAACAAGGTCAGCAGGGCCTGATTTAGCTGGCAAGTCGTCTGGCTTCCTGGTCCATCAGACAATCGTCTGCCACATGCCGTCTGGAAAATTCCCCCATTTTCTGGTGAAATTTATGAAGGCGGCAGTGTGCCTCTCTCCTCCCAGCAACCTCTATGATCCCATTCTCCTCTGGTGGATTGCTTGCCTAATGGGCACTGACAGATGGGGCTGAAAATAGCAAGCCTGGTTCCACTGCCCCAAAAACCCACAGTAGTTGGTCAGCATGCTGCTGCTTTCCCATCTCTCAACTTCTCCCTGCGCATCTTCTCTGTCTTCATCCTGTGTGTGTTCCGAGCTCTCAAATTACACTTTCATATTCACTCTGGCTTCTCTCTTCTTCCTCTTGTTTCTTTTATTCACTTCACCTTTTGTCTGAATGGAAGTTGATAAAGTACGCTCACTCAGGCATCTTATAATAGCAAGTTGGCACTTCAGCAGACATTGTGTTAAACCTTTGTAGGCAGCCACTGATTTCCTTTCATGTGACTTAATGTATGATTTATGACTTGAGGCACATACTACCTTTCATTTCATAGAGAACGATGATGCCTATTCAAGTTCATAACTACCATCCGCAGCCCCAGTCTCCATTTGCTTCTGCATTTAATTCTGTGCGGTGCAATTAGCAGAGCTCATGAATAAATCATACCTGAGCCAGTGGAGTGCAGGCAGGGTATCCCTGCTATTATACTGAATGAGCTCTCAGCTCAAGCTGGCAGCAGTGTATCAGAAAGGACCAAGGACACTTAACATTAATTTATATCTGACACAGTCACCACAAGCTAAGATTAGTGAGCAGGAAGAATGGACATAAGAAAGGTATGGCACAACACCTGTGCTGGTTGGTGAGTTGATCTCCTGACGCATGCTGCGGCCGGATTGGCTGCTTATCCTGGCAGTCTCACGTTGAGGCTCCAGAATGTCGCGGTACTTGGAGACCATGAGGACAGAGATGAAGTACACCACAGCTAAAGCCAGGAACTGGGCTTGTTTACTGTCATCCTGTGGAGAGGAATCACAATATGGTTACGCCACTCTATTCAGAAAATCTCTTTTCACACAATGCACTGCTGCTGCCTGAAATGGTTCTCTTACAGCACAAACACCTTGCAGAAAGCATGAAAACACATTAAACTACTGCCATTATTCTCTAACATATTTATAATACTTTGAAATACATTACTTTGAAATATATCCATTAAAATTTGTGGGCTTGTGTTCAACAGACAGCAGTTCAACCAACAAGGGCAGCTTTAGTATTGCACCTGTTGATAGAAGGGTGTTACATTGCACACCTGTTTGCCTGCCAAAATAAATATCCTATTTTCATCCTCCCTAACTGCAGCCAAGTCTTTGTCACAAACACATGCATATTTTGCATATACAGAGATCCACGCACACAGCCCTGCACTCACCACATCACGAAACACCACAGCACGTAGTCGATTGATGTCCACATCCTGCAGAAGGCGATCAGGGTCCTTGATGGGAGACAGGTTACTAGGGACAGTCTCTATGGCTGTCTAAAGCAGAAAGATAACACAATATGACATGCTACCCTGTTCAGTCGAAGTTTTTGCTATTACTTTTTCCTTTTACATAATTTTAGGGTTTAGAAAACTAACTAGACTAATGTGAACTGAAAAATCTGCTAACATTTGTTGTAGACAGAGACAGATTTCGTATAAAAGAGGGTATAAATTAGGCTTAAAATAATAAGAGAACTAATTTAATATCACTAGTCAGGTCACATTAAAAGCATGGGGAAAAGCATGTTACAGTAAAATTCATCGTACAGATGAAATTTGCAACTAGGGGCACAGAAAGCCAAGTTATGACAGCACATCCTACCTTGCTGGAAGACACAGCATTTAGTAGGATTTCCTGAGTCTTGTGGTTGTTGGGAATGGAAGACTTATTTCCCCTGTTCCTGTGTCTCTGCCTGCACTCCAGACAGTTCCTAACAGCCACACAACACACTGTGCACACACACACACACACACACACAAACACACACACACAGCATACAAATAGGCTCTTATTTCAGAGTTAAATGGAAATTAAATGTTGATAACATGCATGACCTCTTTAAAACTAATCAGTTATCTCTGATGACTATTTGTTCCAGGCTGCCGGGACAGAAGCTGGGAGTAAAATCAGCAGCCAGACTGATTTCACACTGAAGCCAGTGATGAGAAATTGTATGTTTGCAACAAGGACACAGTGAAGTCTGAAGGCTATTTCCCATCCCCCAGAGCCAAACTTGGAGTCAACAATCTAGCAAACCCAGGCTAGCGCAAACAAAGACCCACAGGCATGAACAGATATAGACATAGATACTCTCACGCGCCAAAACAAAAAGAGACAAAAATATACACATTTTTTCTGCTTGTTTTATGCATCAAAAAATTATACTAAAACAGAATAAAATTGTTTTACAGTTGAGTCAATATTATTCACTGTGTACACTGTGTATAAACTACAGAAAGTAATTTCTGAAGAAATTGCAGGTGTGAATGCTGACGCTAAACTGAATTGCTGGTTTTGAAATTGTGTGAAAAAGATGTGTGATATTTGAAGATTTGTTGAAAAGATTACACTAGACAGAACTGCTGGCTCTAAAAGTTAAATCATAATTTAATAATATTAATAATCTGTAGAAAGTGGAATATTTTTTTATTTCTTTTTTTCGGCTTTTATGCCTTTATTTGATAGGACAGCTGGAGGCAGGTCGGATTCGAAGCTGGGCCGCTGCAGCAAGGACTCAGCCTTGGTACATGGGTCGCCAGCTCTACCCACTGAGCTAACCGGGCGCCCAGAATTTAGTTGCTTCTGTTGG